CATTACATTACTTTACATTACATTCAGCTACCACAGACCCATCTTAAGCGTAACTAATTCAAGTTAAATAAGCAAAGTCTTAATCAAACTTTACTCAATTGTAAAGCGGGTATAAAGGAAATATTTAGAATAAAGTCAATATATAAACTTCCTTTCCGTATAGACGTATTTACGTCTAATTCTCCGGAACCGTGGTTCCACTATCAATTTTTAATAATCACAATGCATTTTAAAGCTGCGTTGAATAATTATGTCTGGCGTCTTGTTTCGGGGGGGGGGGGGGGGGGGTTGATTTCTTAATATATCTGCCATTTTCGTTTTATATTTCACATTACGTACAAGATTTCGACGAAATTTTGTATATGAGAGTACACTAGAAGTTGGTACAAGAATTTAATTTTTGTCTGTGAAGTTCACAATTACCTCTGAGCGAAGTTCAAATCGAAACACTATCAAATATCGAAAACAAATAGTTCGACATACAACGTACCAATATAGAACGTATAATATATTGTTTGAAACGTGTTTAATTAAAGAAATATTAACTGACTAACACGATTGTTTACGGAAACCGAAGGTTCATCACCGAATTCACCAAAGTCCTCCACCGGACCCTGTCCTGGGCCAACAAAATCCAGTCTCAATTAACGAAATACCAATTAAAATATTATGGCTGTACAATCTCTGCTAATGGCTAACAGCGACTGTATGCAGTGTAGCAATGTATTATGTCTGAACTTCTTTATTTCTGGAATAATATAATAATGAAGTATGAGAATTAGTGGAAAATGCGTACGAAATCATTGCGTGTTACCCAATGGAGTCTACTTTTTCACTGTTCTTGTTTGTTTGAGTCGTTGAAAGAAGCGATTGTCGAACTCAGGATCTATCTACTGCCATGTTAATATTGTAATCACATTGCCTTCTTCATGTCGTGTTTAGAATTTGCCCAGAAGTTTCAAAGGGTATCAAGTTTTTATGATAATTTGTTTATATTCATTAACAGTGTGAAGGTAGAGTTAATATGCGTGTTATTAAACATTTATTTCCTACTTCAAAGAAACTACAACACTTCTCCATTACGAACATCAGTTGGTTAATACTATTTGAGGAAGTAATCGCTGTTTAATCTGAGAAACGCACGAAACATAAATACAGATTTATTGAATGTTAAAGCAGGTGACATATGTATATATTACAGAGCTTTGAAGGTTTAAAATACAGACATTGGTCTGTTGATACTATAATTGTTTAAATTCACTTCAGAAAGTTTCTTAACCCGTAGCAAATTCCATTGTAGTGCTAGAGCCATGTTGACTGACGCTGATGTCACATTTGTTGTTAATTTCATGGCTAAACTTTCTATTACCATTTGAAATATGTATATCTGTTTCTACCAACCGGTACTCGTTTGGTAAATTGGCAATTAGTATTGTGTTCCAGATAATATTGTATTTTTTAATAATTTTGTCATTGAAATAGGAACGTAAACGCAATTTGTTTTCGTTTTATTGAGTTCGTGTTATCTGAAGTGGAATAATTAAATAAAACTGGAATTTGTTTCTGTACAGAAAGTCAAGATTAATTTATGTGAACAAGTTCGATCGTCATAGAGAAAACGTGTCCTGTGACAGTTCTTAACTTTTCGTGCGTGAAGAATGATAATTTCTGAATAATATCTGGTTTCTTGGGACAGTAAAGTTGTGTGGTAGAAGCAATAGTCTCTGGCCTGAGACGCAGCGGAAGAAACATCAACTGATTTTATACTCGCTGTGATGATAGTAAGAGGATTTTTCTCGTGTGAAGCCATACGGCGCTTTTTGTGGGCCTGTATTCTTCTTCTTAGCTGAGAGTGAAGGTAGTCTAAGAGGCTTACTGACGGTGTCTGGCTGGTTAACGTAATGGATCGTGACACGAACTTGACTGCCAAAGATGCTTCCATCAGAACCCCCCCCCCCCTCTCCTAAAAAAATAGAAAGCCGAATTGCATGATGAAAGAAGAGAGACAGGGAGTACGAAGCAGAAGACATTTTACAGGAAACTATGAAGGGAGAAAAATATGAACTTTCCCGGTAGTAAGATACAATGAACACTACTCTCACTATTGAGCGCGAAAGACGTCTTAAATGTTAGTCTTACAAGACTGGGGAAAATAATCCCTTTGATGAACCTGCGTTTTACATTACTTTAATGTCATAATTTAGCAAGACAGTTCCAAAATTGATGTGATATTTCTGTTAACATAAGACACAACGGAAGTTTATAACAATAAATGAGAAAACTTGCTTTTGACGAGTTGTGTAAGTAGGCCTATCAGTACACAATCATGTTTTATTTTAAATTTCTTGTTCTTTTTATTAAATTTTGGCGGTTCCAGTACACCGTCTTAGGTCGCCAGTCAAACCCTCTGAAATATAGATTAAAGTTCGCGGACCGTATTTTAATAATCCTATATAAATTTTTGATTTTTAGAGTTATAATCTTTTATAGTATTAACCGTCATGAGCAGAACACTGGCTTTGATACATATTCTATTTGTGCGGTTTATGGTCGTTCTGTCTGCTTCTCTCGCACTGTGAGCAACCAGTTGCCGGCTATGATGGTTTGTGGAGACTACACGAAGCATAAAAATCATGACAATGGAACTTAACAAATGTAAATATTTATACCACTTCCATGAAATTCTTGTATTAGGCTTGTAAACACTGTCTTCTGCGTAAAGAACTCAATCTTTTTTAAAAAAATATTTGTCGGTATGTTTGCGCTCCTTGTTATCGGCCATCCAGCGATAATAAATAACATTCATTTAAAACAATATTGACTTTACTTATATTTATCAGTGAATGCTCTGGGACTTTTTTTCTATTTTCAACTCCCCTCAGAAATACTATTCCATGGATTATGGTATTTTTGGTTGTGACGACGAAGTCTTTTAAGTGATTACCAACGTTCCAAGGCGCATATCGCCTCCTCTTCTGTCTTGAAGATGGAGGCGGCATGTTCCTGAAAAAATGTCTGACTAACGTAAGTAAATTAACTTCTATCATGAGGGCAATTGCTAATTGTTTTCTCGCGGAAAAAAGCATGGCTCCTGTAATACAGATTCATGTTTTGTGGATGACAAGAAACCACGGGATTGTGCATTAATAAATCGTAACCTTACAGATCGTTCATGAGAATAATAAACAAAAATTTGTACCTAAGTTTTGGCATTTTACGTGAAAGCAGTTTAATAATTTTTGTAATTCTGCTCCTCTAGGAATAAATTACAAGTACGCTTAGCTCCTATGAGCAGTACATTTTGTTTCATGAACAGAGCATGCCGACGTACTTGTTTTTCTTCATTGCTTTAATATTTGCAAATTGTTACTACATTGAATTACGTGTCAGTCTCTTAATTTTACCCAAGTTTAAAGTCAATTTAGAACGTTCTCGATGTGAGAGCGATAATTGGGCGGGCTCTTGAAATGCAGCTGTGAGAACAGGTAAGAAATGTGTTGTTTGCACGGGAACAGTTTTACCATCTGCGACACGAATTAAATGGAAATATTTTTGACTCCATGTCTTAAAAGCAACGGGACTCCCTACGATGTCATACGGCGTAATTTCTAATGCACTGTGAAAATTCTCGTAAAATACGCTTATAAAGTAACGTAACGTAATGTACTTGTTATTCTGAAGATGCTGTAGGAACTGAAGATTCGCGAATCGCGTATGTCCTGCATAAATTATTGCCATATCAGGTAATAAAAGTAATTATTTTTAATATAATCCCCGATTCATATTTTGTATTAGTAAAGTTACTGTGGGGGGGGGGGGGGGGACGCCGGAGCGTAGGTTGACACATTACCTCCAATCCTTCACATGTTTTTATGGCGTGGTACTTTACCACTGGGACGACTTTTTTTTGTCTTGGAGCGCTCCAAACGAAAAGTTGCAAAAATTTGCCTGAAAAAATAATAAATGTTTTAAATGAAGACTTACTTCTGTTCTCATCTCGAGCGTAACTTTCTATACCTTTCTCTAATAAAGAAAGTTTTCTGGAAGATGTTCTGGAGATAAACGAGACATAACCACTTTTATGATCACTATTTTACTCCGTGAGTCTAAAGGCTTTCGAAATATTTAATTGATTTCTATACTGTCATTTATGTAGGATAGTCTTGTTTTAACTCTGATTGAAGAACTTATTGACAGGTTTTAATTACATTTTATTTTGGAGATTCTTATTCACCCACCCTACCCATTTTCTGCTGCTTTA